TGAAGTTGGGAAATGCCAACCGAGCCTCCCGTATGCGAGATGACACTTCATCCGTGATGGGTCCATCGCGTGAAATATAGCGACCCAAATAACAAAACTTGTGCACTTGATCTATCACTTCCCCAATTAAAGTGAGTGTGGGCGCTGGACCAAGCCAGTCTTGTAGTAACATTTTACACATACCGAACATGGCTACATTAGCACTCAAACTTTCCAGAAAAGCTTCTAACTTACCTGAATCTTCACTTAACAGCACAACGTCGTCTGCATACTCTACATCAGACAGCCTGCTACCTTGGAGTAAATCGATGCCACTATCTCTGCACGTGGATAGGGCTGTTTCCATAATCAAATCTATAACAAAGTTAAACAGAAGAAAGAGAAAGGGCAATCCTGACGAACACCACTTTTCATGGTGAACTCCAGCGAAAACGTGCCGTAGGCATGGAATCGACTTAGGCTATTGGTATAGAAGTATAAAGTTACAGAAACGTGTGGAAAGTCTTTGTTGTCTTGTGCAGTTTGCATGCGAATGTGCAAAGTTAGAAATACAACATTAAACAAAAAGGTGAGGACACAACTTTGTATCGCGTTCCCGTAACTATTTCACAGATATCTGGAGGACAGTCTAAAAACCAAGAGTAAGTCAGATGTGGAACGTTTAAGCCTATACAATCGGCCAACGAAGTTCGCTTATGGAGCCGCCGCTATTGGACCTCGCCACCAACCGTTGTACGCGGAAAGCTACCATCCGATATATCCCGGAAGCCGGCTCACTTTCTAGCAAGGGAACAATGTGTTTCGTTCAGCTCAAAACCAGTTCCTCTGCAGGCCTCGTCCTGTAGCAAACAATTCACTTGCATTCGCTAAATGGGTTGTGTGGGTCTATCCAATACTATCAGTAAGCTGGAATGGGATGACTGTAACCGCCACTCAATTTTTATGACGCAGTCAACGTAAACCAAGCGCTCTATCTCCGATGTACACTATCGAGCAAGGAATGCCGAAAGAGTCAAACGATCTTATGGTGTCCCCGCGGAAAAGCGATCACAATTCGACCAACATAACCCACTGTCTGGGCTCAGAAATAATTCGTCTGTCTCGGTCATTGATGCGCGCTACGGTGACGCTCGCTTATCCCAACTGGTTCCCCAAAAGACAGCGGCACAACATTCCCATGAAATCACAGCGACAACAAGTATTTTTATTTTCATGTACTGTAATTAGCCAATCTATGAAGCACGGAAAAACAAGTTTGATTGCTATGAATATTCAATCGGGAATTCTTACAGATATTGGTGGAACATTATCGGACACCTTTGGTGGAACACAACCCAGGCTTTACAAAACGTGATTCGGAAAAATAGATAACGGTTACTCGAGGTTCTACAACAAAAAATCAATATCAATGACAAAAGAAACATTGTTCGACTTTCTGTGGCAATTGGCGACTCTTGTTCCAAGAACTGAAACGCAACTGATCAAGGAGTATCATGCATACACACGCAAAGAAACAACACACTGAATTTAAAGAAGTTCGATGGGGAGTAAACCCTGTTTCGATCCGCTGTGTATTTCTAATTGCAGGATAGCAAATATTATTCACCAGAAACAAAGAAAATTTACACAATCCTTCAGCACGTAAATATTAAATTAACAGAGATCAATAAGAAGGGAGACAAAGAGATTGAACTAACCACAAGTGGAAACCATGCGGATTTCCGGAATGGATGGTGAAACACATAAGAGCAGTTTGATTTAAAAAGGCATTTCACAGATGGATGGAAAAGAGTACGCGAAAGACATATGGGTTTTTGAGGATGACAAAGTACATTTGTGATCGTCCCTCTCATACGTGCTCCTCAAATCCGCGTCATTGGATGACAGTTTGCAGCTGTCATAGCAAAACGAATCGTGAACATCGGTATCCCTATCGAATCCATGCAAACAGAACAAAACATAATAGAATTGTGACAAACACTTTGATCATGAAAGCCCGTCGTGAGGAAACGGACCGAAGAAAGGCAGTCAATTGTTCATGAGCCGTGCCCACGTTTAACTCAGCCTCTTCAGTTTGGCTGTCTATTCGGGTAACAAGATCTCCTTGTTCACGAACCAGAGAGGAGAATTGCTGATAGATCTCACCCAGTTGGACTATGGTAGACTCCACACGTCTCATGGCTGCATCTCGTTGGCGAACTTCTTGATCGAGGATAGGCAGTTGAAGTTGTTGTTGCATATGTGGCTGCTGTGGGTCTTGGGGTGATGAACTCATGTGTAGCGAAGAAGTTTGATTGATCAAATCCGACTGAAAAAAGTAAAATGTGACTAGTATAATTATTATTATGAAACACTTGCCGGTAATTTGTGTTTTTACCGCAAAACATCACACTCATCCACCGTGTTCTCTACTGCATAGTGCAACCAACGTGTACTTACAAAATCTGTTCCTAGTTAATTTTATATGCTGACTACTCATGAGCAGCATAATGCGGTTATACGATTTCACTCAGCTGGAATCTCACTAAAAAATAAGGAATGCGCTGTGACAAGATTATAAAATTATGGAATGAACAACATAAAGGATATCGTTGTGATAACCGCATGGCATGTTGTACACCCTTCACTAATTGGCGATCTTAAGTCACAAAGTGATCTATCATGCAATCTCAAGGTGCCACATTCACCACTGAGAAGACTTGGAAGCACAGCACAGCTTACTTTTGAGCGACTATCTCCCACTGGAGTAAAATTAAGCTACATGGGCAGTGTGATGATCTAGATAAATTCCATGGAATATGATTATAAGCAGTTTCTTACGCTTCGTTTGGTCTTTGAATACGAGTTTATAGCTCATCTCATTTCACTTCTAAGGGCAACCTGGAGGGTTGTGTGTTTGTTCCAGACCAGCCGGTAGTCAGTAATGTGGACCATTCACCTTATTTGGGAAGTCTTTATGAGTAAATATAACCAATAACGGGGTTATGGTCTTATTAGTGACGGTCGTATTCACCATGTCATATTACCTTCATCAGACTCTTGGTAGGGCGCAAGCCTAACAAGCGAAAACTCGCCACGATCTCGGGATCTGCCATTTCTCACCCACGGGAAATTATTTAGTGAGCATGAGCCCGAAATGTTCACCGATGACGACCAATTTGGTGGCCATTCACCTATCCGCTAACTGGAGAGGGGCCAGGAATCATCAACATTTTATACCTACACACTGGTATTGCATGATGTATCAACTACTCACTATTCTTCTGGTCCAACCGATTCCACAGTATTTTAAATGGAACGGATAAATAAAATATTGCACTAAAAGCTGCTACCGTCGCAAAAAAATCATGGTTTTTATTTATTTACTTTAAACCAAATGTATTGGACTTACAGGAGAAGAAATAAAGAACGAAACAGATTGTGTCTCCTGACCGACTGATTTTACTATAGGTGGATATGGTGGGCGCGTAGGTGATGAGATTGAAGTGGACCACGAGCCAGAAGTACGCGAATCGACCAGATTTACAGATTCTAGGTGTTGCGTTGTGGTACCGTGATGCTGAGGTGAACTAGAGATATCCACCGCCAAAGC